GGGAATTCTGGGAGTTGAAGTCCACCCGTCGTAAAGTGACCAAGGTTGAGGAACCCTGATGCATAGGAATGCCCACTCTGTTTTTCTCTCTCCCAAGCACCAGGCTTTGGGAAAAGGGGAAATACCTTTCTCCAGAGGTCCAAGCTGGCTGCCCTTCTGCTTTAAAAAACATCTGCGCCTCTATCCGGCAGTGCAGTGGTGTTCTCAGACAGCTAAAACTTGTCACCTGTACCAGAATGTATGGCTTCTGCATGCTCTTCATTGAAATACCTGTTAGGGATTCCCCTGTGAAATTTCTCTGCCTCTAACTCAGTGTTTTTCACACTTGGCCACTTTAAGATGTGTGGCCTTCAGCTCCCAGAATTCCCCAGCCAGCATGAATTCTGGTAGTCGGCCCACACATCTTAAAATTGCCAAGTTTGAAAAAACGCGGCTCTAGCTTGAACCAGAGAATTGGTTTGGTGCAGCTCCTCTTTGTTCCACTGAGGCAGAGTATTTCACGGGTCGCGCCCATGATGGGGCTCTGAGAGGGCAGCGTGACCACTCGGCCAGTTCCTCCTTGCTTCTACAGCTGCGTTTCTTGGGTTCCTTCCACCGCACTGCAGGTCCCTGTGACGGAAAGCCGACTTCCCCCTTTTGCTCAGCTCCTTCTTTGACATGAGCCAAAATGCACGCATCATGCCACTTGTGGGCGGCGTCATCAGCCTTTAGGAAGCCTGGAGCGTGCATAAGAACAAAACAGCCTCCTGCTGATGTTTGGAAGGGCTCTGGACCGGCTTGGTGGCGCACCGCCAGGGTTAGCGCATGGGGCAAATTCCAGGCCATTGTGCGCTGCCTGGAAACTTTGAGGACCACTAAGAACAAGAAAGGAGAGGCATCTTCTTCAAAGGGGATGCCCAAAGGGGCCAAAGGAGTGAAATTGGGTGCTTTGAAAGAGCTCATTTGTATTTAAGAAGCATCAGCGCCCCACCTTCCTGCATGGCAGCGTGGAAGATAATTTGTCAACAAAATGTCCATTCATTCTGTGGAGGGCAATGGAGGATTATAATGAAAGCCAAATGGCGAAATGCAGCCAGCCCGTCCGCTGTCTCTTCTCAGTATTCTAGCAAAGTACCCCAAAGATTTGAGATGAACATTTGGTATAATTGGAACTGTTTTCATATGCTGCTTCGAATACTTATTTGCCAGGCTGCAGGTGGTTTTCTTGCATAGATATGCATTTCCTCCAATCCCAGTGGAATTCCTTCTTCCAGGTGTGCCCTAACAACCCTGCGAGGTAGTCACCCCAAAGATCTTCTGCAGCTGAGGGCAGACCAACTGTTTGGAAGGAAATCGCTATACGTACTTACTTCTGTTTTCCTCTCTACAAGGGAGAAAGGTCTTCTGCCCAGACTTCCCCAACCTGGCACCCTTCAGGCATGTTGAGACTGCCCTGTCTGGTGGCCGCCAGGGACGTCAGACTACAAGCCCCATGAGTCACAGTCAGTGACTAAGCTCTTCAGCTGGCAAAGCTCTCTGTTCCTAAGGAGGGGTCCTTCCCAGCTTCACCTGGGGGTACCAGATGGAGACCCTTGGTGGCAATGTACCTTTCCATAAGTGCCAGCTGTCGCACATCACCCTGCAGGGCTCTCGCTGGAAAAGTGGTCTCGCTTTATTTCTCAGCCCTGGGCAGTAAGTCAAGCAAAGGAAAAAGTAAAGCCGAAGCAGTGGGGAGGGAGGGAAGGAGGGAATCAAAAGCACCGTCAGCATATATAGAAAGGCATCAGCTGGATGGAAGTGGGTTGGGTGTGTGGCATGTCATGAGCTCGGCCAGCCAGCATAGGAGTGAAGCACTTGGTTCATTTTACAGAGCCCAGACTCACAGGTGAGTTGGCTAAATCTGCGTCTCATTCGTGTGAAGGCTTGTAGCCTTTTGGCGGCCAAAGACCATGGTTAAAGTGTTGAGGGAAGGGTCAGGATGCCAAGAGGATAGGTTGCATTTAGGTGGGGCAAGGTGGGAAGAGGAAGTTGGGGAAGGGGTCTTGCTCAGTCGCAGTGTTTAGGCAACCTTGGCTGATTTCCAAAAGTTAAGCTACAGTTATCACGTGGATGGAAGACCACCAAGAAAAGAAAAGAAAAAAACTTAAAAGAAGGCAGTGAGAAGCTACCTGTGGATTGTTGCCAAGAAAATAACGTGGACTTGTTTGGCAAAAGAGAAGGTTAAAAAAAACAAAAAAACTAAAATATCTATTATAGCACTTATATTACTGTTTCTATCTGTTTCTAAACTCCCATGCGAAAAAGGAATCCATACGGTGGTTGATTTCGCTACACATTTAAATTCAATTGAAGTTGCATCGAGGTCATGAGAGGCAGGAGCCCCTTCTGGCACATGGGCCTAATCCAATCCCTAAAGCAGTTCAGGCTCTCATTCAGAGCAGGAGTAAAAAGAGCCAGAGAGCAAGAACTGCCCCCCCCACACACACACACATGCAGACACTCACCCCTTTCCTTTTGGTGCAGTACACACAGTCCTCTACTTACAAACTTTCAAGTTATGAACTTTTGCCGATATGAACAAACTGGTCCACAACTCCAACCTAGAAGGTCCTGGAAGGCGCGAGAAGGTAGGAAAGGGTTAGTTTACAGCATGCCTCATATGTACGCTTGGCAGCACTGTCGCACATTGGGAGGTTGAGCGTACACCATTTTGGACGCTACCCCATCCTGTCTGTTCGCTGATCTCATAGTATTTAGTTTGATGAGCCTATGCTGTCACCGTCAGGTATTATGGCATACCTGCCGCTTATGTAAGGTAAGAACTGTACCGTGCGTGTTTTTTATACTTGGTTGGACTTACGAACAAAATGGACTTACGAACAGCTTCTTGGAATGTAACCTGTTTGTAAGTAGAGGACTGTCTGTACAACCAAAATGGTGGCCTGTTGATACAGATTCTCCTCCTGCAAGTGAGGAGTTCTGAATAATTCAAATGTTTGCCTGCTGTTTGGTGCGTTTTCCGTGACCCTAATACTTATCATCTTGCGGTGAGAACCAGGCTGGTGCAGTGGTGAAAGGGCTGGATGAGGAGTAGGGAGACCCAGATTGTAGCCCCCAGCCCCCAAAATTCCCTGCGGGACTTTGGGTGAGACCCTTCCTCTTAGCCCAGCCTACTTCAGAGGGTTGTGGAGGAAAAATGCATCTTGCACCATGCTGAAGTGTAGGCCTTCTGCCAAATGAAAATACTAAATATTACTTGGATTTGGGGTCATTTTTTTTTCCTGATGAACCATAAAATGACCATTTATTAGGTCAGTTTAACTGCACCTTTGCAAAGATGTTATCTGTCGTGCTTGCTTACTCACTTCTGTACCACCGCTATGAAAGACCAACATTGGAAAAGACAGGTTAAAGAGCGAAAACAGCAACTGATAAAAAGGGGGAATGTATCTGTGTCTGTGTGTGTGTTCATGCGAAAGAGAGAATATATATTTGATCTCGGAAGACATGGCAAGCTTTTAGAATAATCATATTTGCTATTTCTGCCTAGAGATCTTCTGTTATGGATGGAGGTAATCTATTAGGGAAGAAAGTTTGTTTAGCATTGCTAAGAAATGGCGATTAGATTTTAATAAATTTACCTTCACGGCAGGTTTTCCCCAAAGCTCTTTGTTGCTGTGTCAGCTTTTCAGCCAAAGACCTAATTATCAATCATACCGCCCACAGGAGACGTATTTAAGATCTATATCTCCAACGTGCAGCCCGTGGGCGCCTCCTTAGCCCTTACCAAGCTTCCTTCCCCACGTGACCTTTTTTAAAAAATCAGATTTCTTCTAATTAAAAACATAGGAAACTGATCTGCTGCAAAGTAAATTGGGAGCTTGCAGCATGATTTTTATTTTCAGAAATGCTTCCCCAGAAAATAGAAGTGGTGCGTTTGGAAGTGATCCCGCCTGCCCAGAAGAATACATAAATAAAGGCAACAGGGCAGAAGTGCGGGTCAAGGGATGAGAGCGTTGGTAGAGAGTAGCCTTACTTCCTGGTAAATGGGATTGTGGTGATGAGATCTCTAGTCTGCTACCAGATGGCAGCAGTGTGTTGGGCTTTTTTCTGTCTCACTGCCCCCTAGTGGCCCTCCAGATTTGTGCAGCCCAGATGTGGTAGCTCTACTACCATGGCCATTTTGTGAATATTTGTTTGTTTGACTTACGTGACCACCCATCTCAGCATACACCTCTAGGCAGGTAACCACAATTTAAAGTACCAAATAAAAGAAAAATAAAATAAATCCTGCAGTCACAAACTCAATACAAAGGCACCAAGGTCTAACTCAGAAGCTTCCCAGCCTGTGAAGAAGGGAGAAACAGCTCACAAAAGCTTCTGCCTTTTAATAAAATGTGTTAGTCGGAAAAGACTCTACCAGACCTGATTTTCTGGTACACAAAAGTTGTACCCAGCAGGCTCGCTAGGGCAAGACTTGGGGGAACAGCCAGGTCTTGCCAACAGAGTTGGGGCCATCCAAATCTCAAGAGCATGGGGTCCCATAGACCAGGCACCATGACAGGAGAGGTTCCACTATGGCTGCAGTCCCACACCCTACTCCCCCGTTGGCTTCAAAGGGTTGGGATTGGCCTTGGCTGCTCCTCTTCTCTTGCGCAAAGAGGAAATCTGTGGCAGCCTTGGCCCATTTTTTGCAGAGTCTGTGGTTGGGTGCTAAGCTTTGGGGGGCTTCTTTCTCTCCCCAGGGAAATCCCACATGGCCATCGTGCAGAAGGTGAACAATGAAGGGGAAGGGGACCCGTTCTACGAAGTCATGGGCTTGGTGACCCTGGAAGATGTCATTGAAGAGATCATAAAGTCGGAGATCATGGACGAGTCAGACGACTACAGTAAGTGGGTTCCAACGCAGGTATGGCCTGTTTAAGGCTTCTTCTCTTCTGCTCCTGACTCTTCTTATTTTTCTTAGCCCAGTTAAGTTTGCTTTACTAGGATGACAAGTTTTTGCCATCTAGAGCTCTGAAGCCCATCATCCCACACCGAAAGTAGAGAAGTGGGGTGGGTTCTAGAATTAGGGAACAAAGCAACCTCTGAGCATACAGTTAGCTCAGTGTTTCTCAACCTCAGCAACTTTTAACATGCGTGGACATTAACTCCCCAAAATACCCCCACCCCCACGCTCACGCGGGGAGTGGTGGGGTGGGGTGGGCTATATCCTGTGTTTGGAGATTA